TTCCTGGATCATTTAATATTCTGCCCAAAGCATCCTTGATTACAGCAACTCTAGGTTTGAATCTGTTCTTCAGTTCCTTGAGCTTAAGAAATGCTGAAAAATTTAAGGAATTGCAAAGAAATTGCTATAGGCTGAAAGGATTTCTGTTATTCATCAGTGAGAGAAATTTTAGGAAATGTGTCTGAGATCATAATGAGCAAACAGAATCAACCCCACTTCCATAACGCATGGGCTACTACTGTTTACAACTTGGTATATTTTCTTCTGGTCTTTTTACTGTGTGTATATAATTTTTTTAAAAAAATTATTTTATTAATTTTAGTGAACATTTAAGATGTGTGTATATAATTTTTCTGACATGATGACTAACAGATACAGTGATTGAACATGGTAGAGACTGTGGGGATGGCACAGAATAGGGTAAATGTTCTAAATCTGCCCGAAGGGACTTAAGTCTGTTCCTCTTTTCTCCTTATGTCTGTTGCTTGTAAGGTTACTAAGAATCATAGTTGGCTTAATGGCACCACCACCACCACCAACAACAATAAAACAACCTGTATTTACTTTGTTTTCACTATTATTTTAGTGTTACCGGTTGCTGTCTTTGCTCACTGGTTTTTCTAATGTCATCTTTTTGAGTAATTTCTGGTTATTTAAGAGAAATTTCTTGAAGTTGAATAAAGGATCAAAAATGTGCCTATTTCATATGTGTACTGGCAAGCTTTGGTTTGATGAATTTTCTGTATATTTCTTTTGTCTTTGACTGTCCTGCTTAAGTTTTTATTATTAACTCATAAGAGCCTTTTAGTACTGATACTTTCTAGTAAGTCAGCTCTTTTTTTTAACAAGAATGGCAAGAATATCCGTTAGCCTCAAGGAAGGAAATGAGAAGTGGTTAAGCGGTGCAGTGAAAATATGGTATGACAAGATGGGTTGTAGATTCACAATTAGAAGAGTAAGAGACAGACAGTATAAATTGCAGCATTAGTAAATCTAAACTATTCCTTCCACAGTGAAGAGCACTCCTTCCCCCTGACTAATCTAAGATTGAGCCCAGTGATCAGCATCTGTTTTTATAAAGGCGGTATGACTTAATGCTCAGAAGAATGTCAGCAAGACTTTCTGAAAAACAAACTCACCCCCCCCCAGTTAAAATAGTAATATTATTTTGAAAGAGAATTCTTTTTGCCTTTCTCAGTGCAGCGAAAAGCAAAAGAGGAGGAAGAACGTGTGATGGAAGAGCAACGCATAAATGAAGGCCTTAAAGAACTGAACCGTGAAGACAGAGAGAATTTCACAAGGTACAGTTTTCTTTTATTACTACTTACTGCCTTCAAAAATTGCAGCTTTTTAATATATAATAGAAGGCAGATTTCCATAATTCATGCATTATGTACCTTCATTTACATCAGTGTTAATATTTTTCATTCTAGAACTGCAGAGCTATTTTTTAAAATTCCCACATTTCTAATGAAATAACAAGAATAATAATTTAAATGAAATATTTAATGGAAAGTGGTAGTTGGGTCAGCAGAAATGGTGTATGGGGACAGGATTTCATGCAAGTGTTCCTAAGAGGATTTTTCTGGCATCACTGGACTAGAAAATGCAAGTATATCGTGTGCTCTGGGAAATAGCTTTACGTTTCTCTGACAACAGCCTGGGTGAAGATCAACTAGAGTTCCCGGTTGCCACAGTCAAGGTCAGGTGGAACAGAGCAAGCCTCTTCTTACTGCTGATGCTGGTACTTGGTTCAGGCAGCCAGGAGAGTGGAGGGAAAAGGGGCCCAACTCCTCTAATTACAAGTACCATGTTGTTTTGGTTACTACCACTGTATTGTTGTTATTGTTTTTATGTGCCTTTGAGTCGCTTGCGACTCATAGCGACCCTATGTACAACAGCCCTAAACCCTGCTCTATCCTGTGACAATCTCACTGTCTCTGACACACCCATCCCAATTACGCCAGTCACTAAATCAATCCACTCATAGAGGGTCTTCCCCTTCTGTGCCATCCCTCCACCCTCCCAAGCATGATGTCCCTCTCCAAGGACCTCTCCCTCCTTACAACATGTCCAAAGTATGTTAGACGAAGCCTCAGAATCCTTGTCTCCAGGGAGCAGCCTGGCTTCACCCTCTCCAGGATGAATCTGTTTGTTTTCTTGGCAGTCCATGGTACATTCAATACTCTTCTCCAGCACCACATCTCAAAGGCGTCAATTCTCCTTCTATCCTCCCTAGTCATTGTCCAACTCTCTGATGCATAAAAAGTGATTGCAAAGACCATAGCCTGTATCAGATGCACCTTAGTCTCCAGAGTGACACTATTGCTCTTCAGTACCCTGGAGAGGTCCCTAACAGCAGACTTTCCCGTCGCAATACGTTTTTGATTTCCTGGCTACTGGTGCCAAAAGTGTTGACCATGGAGCCAAGCAGACTAAAGTTGTTAACAATCTCAATCTCTTCACCATCCATCCTGATGCTGCCAATTGGTCCAGTGGTGACAATTTTTGTCTTCTTGACATTGAGCTTCAATCCATACTGAAGGCTGCAGTCCTTGACCCTCTGCAGTAAGCATTTCAGGTCCTCCTCAGTTTCAGCAAGCAGGGTTGTGTCATCTGCATAACACAGATTGTTAATAGATCTTCCACCAATCCTGACACCACACTTCTCCTCATAGAGCCCAGCCTCTCGGATAATCTCTTCTGCACACAGGTTGAAAAGGTATGGAGATAGGACACATCCCTGGCGTACGCCTTTCCCAATTTTGAACCATGCAGTGTTCCCCTGCTCTGTTCTGACGATTGCCTCTTGGTCCAAGTATGGGTTTCGCATTAGAATGATCAAGTGTTCTGCGATTGCCATTCTTCTCAAAGTCAGCCACAGTTTGTTATGATTCACACAGTCAAACGCCTTTGCATAATCAATGAAACACAGACATTCTTCTGGTATTCCCTGCTATCAACTAAGATCCATCTAACATCAGCTACCCTATATCCCTAGTACCACGACCCCTTCTAAACCCAGCCTGGACTTCTGGAAGTTCTCTGCTGATGTGCTGTTCCAGTCATTTTTGGATAATCTTCAGTAGAATCTTGATTGCGTGTGAAATCAATGATACCGTTCTATAGTTTCCACACTCATTTGGGTCACTTTTCTTTGGAATGGGAACAAATCTAGATCTTTTCCAGTCAGTTGGCCAAGTGGTTGTTCTCCAGATTTCTTGGCACAACTTGGTTAGCACATCCAGGGCAGCATCTGTTAGCTGAAATATGTCAATTGGTATACCATCTATTCCTGGAGCCTTATTTTTTGCTATTTCCTTCAAAGCAGCTTGAACTTCTTCCTTCATCACCATAGGTTCTTGCTCATATATGATTTCATTAAATTCTTCTGTGTCTGCCAGTTCCTTTTGATACAGTGACTCAGTATATTCTTCCGTCTTCTTTTAATACTTCCAGGATAATTTAATATTCTACCTAAAGCATCCTTGATTATAGCAACTAGAGGTTTAAATTTGTTCTTCAGTTCCTTGAGCTTAAGAAATGCTGAGCAAGTTCAGCGCTTTTGATTTTCTGACTCCAGCTCCTTGCACATTTCATTGTAATATTTTGCTTTGTCATATTTATAATATTACTACTACTGTGTAGTAGGTCAAAATTCTCTAATTACGGATCACCCTCACGTCCCTGGAGCCGGTCACCTGATTCACCCACACTTAGTGCATAGAAATATGCTCTTTTCTTTCTAGAAAGAGAGTGGCTTATGTACCAGAGCCCACTATCAGCTTGGAGACAAGAATATCTGACCTGCCTTCTAACCCTCTGCTCTCACTTCTGTTCCCGATGTCACAGAGCTTCATACCAAAAAGAAAGCATTTACTTATTTATTTTTTTCTTAATTTTAATGAAAATTTACAGAGGCTTAGGGTTTCCAGTCTTTCATTGTTGCACTTTTCTCCCTGCCCACCCCCACCCCCAGCATTTGCTTACCTTTTTTTTTTTTAAAAAAAATATTATTTCATTGAGGTTTTGGCCAAAGTATACACAGCATTGTTCATTACTACTCATTATGATCCTCCCAGTATGTGAACATTCTCGTTATTTCCATTTTGCGTGTTGCATTTCTAACCATCTCGTTTTCTTGCTCCCTCTGTTGTGTTTTTTAAGTCTATTGTTGAGCACTGGGCAGTTCTGGTGACTTAGGGGTAAGTACTTGTGCTACCGACCCAAAGACAAGAGGAACAATCTCCTCCCATGCAATTTACTGCCCCTGGGACCCTGTTGAAAGATCTGTGCTGTTGCTACATTGGTTCTAACAGGTTGCAATGGTGTAGACACACTGATACTTAATAATCACAGCATCCTTGGGCACTAGAGGAGGGCTCAATAAATAGCACATTTCTTTCTTGGTCCTCTTCTGAATCAGCTTAATAGGGAAAGCAAAACATGTGTTGTGATTGCTTTTTGCTGAATAAAAAAGCACCCTAAAAGTAGTGGCTAAAGAAATCTATAATTATGTCATCATTCTCAAGGTTTAACTGGATGGTTCCTGCTTGGGTCTCTCTTGTGGCTAAAGTTAGAAGTTGGCTGGGGCTCCCTGGGGCTCCCTTCTTGATGGCGTGCCTGAACTGGATATCTAAGAAACCCAGACATACAACTGGCTGTAGCCAGTGGGTTTCATCCACAGAAGCACCATGACCTTTCAATATGACAGCCATTCCTGAGCGTCTCAATACTCAGTATTTCAAGAAACAAGAAGGAGAAGCTGCTATCCAGTGAAGGGCTCTGCCAGGCACTGGAATAGCGTCACTCATTAGTCAAAACAGCAGTCACAGTGCCTGGCCAGATTCAAGGAGATGGAGAAAGAAGGTCCCACTCTTGACCAGGGAGTAGTAAGATCATGCTGCAGAAGAGTTTGTAAGATGGGAGAGATAACATGTGTCTTTGCAAAATATAGTACCACAGAGGGCTAGCCATGCCCTCATGTTGTTGTTGTTTCTGATAAGAGTTGATAATTGAAAATGTGGATTCTATGTCCAAACTTAGCTCTATGCAGGAAATGGGGCTTGTTAAGACGGAATAGAATGTGCCAGACTGACCCACCTGTCATCAGCAGTGCCAGGCCATGGCAGGCCTGTCCCCCCCGGGAACTCACTGTCCTTTGAGGGAGAGCAGAGTGGAAAACAGACTGATCAGCTCCCAGGAGGAAAGGTGAAAGGCTAGGCTGAGCATGCCAGTTCTTGCTTTTCTGTTTCAGCATAGAGAAACCTCTTCTTCCTTATCTAGGGAGTGAGCAGGGGTCTGGAGAGAGACCAGGAACAACCTTTCCCAGGACTGAAACACAGAACCCACTGTCACTGAAGCAATTCTGCTTCATACCAACCCTGTAGCTCAGGGTCCTGCAGGCTGTAAATCTTTATGGAAGTAGAGGGCCTCGTTCTCCCTTTGGCCGACTGTTGGTTGGGAACCTTTAACACCTCACCACCAGGACCCCTTATGATTATAAAGTACCAGAACCACCGAAACCAAACCCACTGCTGTGGAGTTGATTCTGACTCAGAGCGAGCCCCCTGTGAGACAGAATAGAGCTGCCCCATGGGGCTTCTAGGGGGAGCTCTGGTGGCCTAGTGGTAAGAAGCTGTGCTGCAGTCCCAAAGGCACACGGTTTCACCAGGTGCTCTACAGGCGGGTGGGCAGTCTCCTCTCGTGTGAGTTACTGCCTCTGAAAACCCACTGGAGAGTCAGCGGTGGGTCAGTTCTGACTCTATGACACAGCTGGTGAATCTGAACTGCTGACTTTTTGGCAAATGGCCCAATGCTTAAACCATGGCGCCACCAGACCGCTCCTCCTAGCTGTAAATATAACAATCAGGGAAAATGGATTCGTTCCTCAAAGCCAGTGTTTATTCTAAGATGATCTTAATTATGATTTTGTAAGAAACACATCCCTGCATTTTCTGTCCACTTCCCTCCTACTTGCCTGGCTTTTCAGAGGAATTTGAACTTGACATTGTCACAGATTCTGTCAGATAGTAATTCCCCGTGTAAGTCCAGATCTCCATTTGGTCACTTTGCGTCCTCTGGTGTCTCTGGTTCTTCAGGCGCCGCTGTTTAGCCCAGGAGTATCGGGAACAACTGCAGATGCAGCTGGCCTTCCAGCGGCAGGCGAAGGAAGTCGAGAGAGAGGAGCTGCGCCGGGAGTTCGAAGCCGGAGTAGCCGCCAACAAGGCCTGCCAGGACCGGATCCAGGAGCTGCTGACCAACCACACGGTGCTGGCCAGAAACGTCCACCCCATGAGGAAAGAATGCACCACCAGGCTTCTCCCACCCTAGTTTCACAGACAGCCGTTTACTGTCCTCTCTATCTTCCCATCTTTTAATGACAATTTACTTGTATGTTCCTTTTAACGCACGGGTAAACCGGTCTTCCTTTCCTCTCCAAGAATGTGGCGTTTACTACAAAGAGTTTTCTTTCCCCCTATAAAAGCATTATTTTTTGATTTCACAGATTTATAACTTTGAATGATAAACTGGCTGTTTTTCCTACATGCTTGCCGTTCATGTTCGTTTTGTTGGCAGGTACGCTCTGTCTGCCGGATTCCCACTCTCGTTTCTCTTCTGTACACGGTCCAGGGTATTACAGAGAGGTTTTGCAGGTTGAGCTTCTCAGCGTGCTTTCATTCCCCACATGCTCGTTCACTGAGTCCACGTTAACCGAGCTCCTACTGTAGAACAACGTTCTTCAGATCCTAGGACTCCAGCAAGGAACAAAAGCTACTCCTTGCTGAGCTCTGCCTGTCTTCTCTCAGAGAACATTGATAAAACTAGAAACATTGGCAAAAACCATTCCAGGCCTTTAGAAATTCACCAAAGCCAGGCATATTTTTTCCCCTTTTCCAAGGAAAAATATTGAACATTTTCAGAACAGTGGGAGGCTATGGCTCTTCCCCCACCCAAATCGTTTTTGTGATTTGAGTGAAACCAATGGGAATTGGTTTCCATTTAGCAATTTATATACATATTTGTTTAGTGACATTAATTGCAATCTCTTTGGTCTAGTGGTTTTAAGGAGAAACACTGCCAACCCAAAGGCATGAGGTCAAACCTACCAGCTGCTCTGCTGAAGAGAGATAGTCTGTCGCTTCCTATGCAGTTTATATCCTCTGAATGCCTCCTGGAGAGGCAGCTGTGAGTCAGTTCCAACTCAATCACATGTAGTAACAGCAATGTAACATTATCCTTCCCACTCCCTCCCTATGGTCTCCATTTCCATGTTTCCTTTCCCCCGTCTAGCTCTTCCTGCCTCCTGAGCTTTATTCTCAGGTAAAAAGCTGCTTTGTTGCTGTCATATGGAAAATTGATCTAAGGAATACATGTCCTTCTAATGTTATTGTTGGAGAAGAGTATTAAATATACCATGGATTGCTAAGAAAATGGACAGGTTCATCCTGGAGAGGGTGAAGCCAGGCTTCTCCTTAGAGGTAAGGATTCTGAAGCTTTGTCTGACATACTTTGGACATGTTGCAAGGAGGGACCAGTCCTTGGAGAGGGATGTCATGCTTGGGAGGGTGGAGGGACAGTGCAGGAGAGGAAGACCCTCAATGAGATTAATTGATTCAGTGACTGGGGTAATAGGGGTAGGTGTGTCAGAGACAGTGAGATTGGCACAGGACAGAGCAGGGTTTAGAGCTGCTGTATATAGGGTTGCTATGAGTCACAGGTGACTCGATGGTACATAACAACTGCAACAACGTTATTGTTCACCTTATAGACTTTAGACTGTCTTTAGTTTGGTTGAAAGCTTGTCCTCTTGGGTGAGTTCAGTTCCAAGCTTCAGGGGTGACTGGTAGCCACAGTCGCATCAGTCTGTATCAGACCAGCAAGCCTTTTTCTGTATGATTTTTTTAAAAGTTTTGTTCCACATTTGTCTCCCACCCTATCCAGGACCTTTTCTTATGATCCTTTTCGGATAGTCAGCAGTGGTGGCCAGGCACCATGTAGTTCTTCTGGTCTCATCACCATTGAGGCTGAGCTTTGCATGGCCCACTAGTCCTTTGGAAAATTTGTTTTCATAGATCTTTGATTTTTTTTATGCTCCCACTCTTCTTGCTTCAAATGGAAATAACTATAATATAATAATAGTTATATCATAGATGGTCACTTGCTAGACTCCAGCCAGGACACACCACTGTAGGATATAGAATGTTTTCTTTGTAAATGATGTTATGACAATTGAGTTAGCCGTCCCCTAAGACTGTGGTCCTAAGTCCCCAGGCCCAATGACTCATTACCTCAAGGTGTTTGGTTATGACTAAGAAGAAAGAAGTATTCTCTAATGGCTACCTACGATGGGAGGGGTAAAAAAAAAGGTCAAAGTCATTGTCATGGAATTGGAATTGACTCTCAAGTGACTCCAGCAGGTTTCTGAAGCTCTGAATCACACAGGAGGAGAATGCCCACGTTCCTCCCTTGGAGTTGCTGATGGACTTGAACCACATGAGACAGAAGCAGCCTTTGAGTTAGCAGCACAACTCCCTGTGGTCTAGGCCACCAGAGCTCCTGGGAGGGGAGGGGAGGGGAGGGGAGGGGAGGAGTGTCAAAGTACCCCAAGAAAGAAGACCTGAAAAAAAAAAGAAAAGAAAGAAGACCTGGCAGCAAAACACATCCTTTAAACCCTGGTTCCCTGTGTGAAAAAGCTCACTGGCCCAGGAGACAGAACTGTCTCAAACCCAGCTGAAATGGTGAAAAACAGTAGTAGAGAGTATTCTAGAGAGAAATGTCAGGACCAAGAAACCTGCTGGAGGCTAGCAGGGATAGTAAGGGGGACTTCTGGGCTCAGAGAGTGAGAAACTTAAGTGTCCTACAGCCCTACAGACAAGAGGCTTGCTGGAGGAGTGGAGTGCCTTTGGCACTTGTTTGGGCTAAGTTTGTTGACCCACTTGTTGGCAGAGCTAAAAGACTTCTGTAATACTTGTCTGAGCAGGTCAAGGGGTTAAGGTCTGAGCAGGTCAAGGGGTCAAGGAGTTGAGGGAGTCAGGAGGCTTAGGGCCAGAGACAAACACCCTAATTGAAAATCATCTCCTGAGTCATTTCTGGTCCTAAATTGAGACAGTGGGTTGGCTCAAGATAGAGCAAGGTGCAGAGCTGTTGTACATAGGGTCTGTATGAGTTGGAAGCAACTTGACAGCATATAACTGAAAGGAAAATTTTCGAACAATGTCCCCACACCCAGTGTCGTAAGAACCTGTACTTTCGATCTTGTGTAATTGTTTATGTTCCAGGAACTAGCTAACCACAAAGTGAACAAACACTTACTGGGGAAAACCCTGTATCTTAACTGGTATCAACAGCAGGTGGCTGACCTGGGACTGAACTTCTGCCTTTCCGAAGAGCCAATGAGCAATCTACACGCTAAAGAACCCCTAGACCCTCTATAAAAACCCCTTGCCTTCTCGGCTCGGGGTCGACTCCCCTGTCTTCTGCGTGAGATACGGGTCGACCCGGAGCTCCGCCAATAAAAGCCTCATGTGTTTGCAGCAGGTGTTTCTGGTGTGAGTTGCTCGGGGCCGCGCTAGACAGCAGGATCGAGGAAAGTCTGAAATTTTGGTCTTTCATTTGGGGGCTCGTCCAGGATCAGCGCGACCACCCGCAACCCCGCCAACCACTTGGAGGTAAGAGGATCCTCAACTTTCTCTGTGCGGCGCCGCCAAACCTGTGTGTTCATAAGTCTGTTTTACTTTCAGTTTGTGGCTGTCATGCGCCTGTCAGGGCAGGACGACTGTGGTGGGCAGATGTGCCTGAGGACCACAAGCCGCAGCCCTGGGGAGACGTCCCTTTGGGTGGAATACGGATACAGAGACTTTAACGGTCTCTGATCCGTCTGAGGGGCTTAGAGTGTCCCACCTGAGGGAAGGGGTCCGGATGGCCCCCCCGTCTGAAGCAGCTTTCAATTGGTTGTCATGAAGAGAGCTTCTTGTGTGTCTTGTATTTCTTGTGAGTGTCTGCTGTGTTCTGTGGGCGACTACTATGGGACAGACAGTAACGACTCCTCTATCTTTGACTTTAGGACATTTTTCTAAAGTAAGAACCAGGGCTAATAATCTCTCTGTCAATGTTAGAAAAGGACCTTGGCAAACTTTCTGTTACTCTGAGTGGCCCACCTTGGGAGTCAGTTGGCCACCAGAAGGAACATTTGACCTAACCATCATTTTGGCAGTTAAGGATCTTGTTTTCCAGGAAGGACCAAGCACGCATCCTGACCAACAGCCATACATCATCGTGTGGCTAGACTTAGTGCAGAATCCACCGTCGTGGATAAAACCCTGGGTATTGAAGAAAAACACCATCCCTCCTCGTGCAATGGCCCTAAAATCCCGAACTCCTGAGTCTAGGGTTCCCTGGGCCTCAGGAGCTACACCCTTGGCACCACCCAAAATTTATCCTGAGATTGATAACCCACCTGAGTGGCCTGAGATGCACCACAATCCTCCCCTGTATCAAGGCCAGGCCAACCCGGGTCCCCCCATGCCTGCAAGTGCCCTCCAGGGACCAGCATGAGGGACCCGCAGTCGGAGGGGTCTAGAGAGCCCAGATTCCACTGTGGCTCTCCCCTTACGAGCGTACGGGGGCCCCCCAGAGCCAGGACAACTCCAACCCCTCCAGTACTGTCCTTTTTCCTCTGCTGACCTCTATAATTGGAAGACTAACCATCCTTCCTTTTCAGATAACCCCACAAGGCTTATTGGATTGAGTCCCTCATGTTCTCTCACCAACCTACCTGGGATGATTGCCAGCAACTTCTCCAGGTCCTCTTCACTACTGAGGAGCGAGAGAAAATTCAGACAGAAGCCAGAAAAAACGTCCGAGATGCCGCAGGACAACCAGTTCAGACTCCTGCTGCCATGGACGCGGGATTCCCTCTCGTTCGCCCCAATTGGGATTATAACACTGCTGAAGGTAGGGAGCAGCTATCCGCCTATCGCCGGGCTCTTGTAGCGGGTCTCAGAGGGGCTGCACAATGCCCCACTAATTTGGCCAAGGTAAGAGAAGTCCTTCAAGGGCCTACAATGGCCCAGCCTTTGTTGCCCAGGTGAGTCAGGGACTGGCCAAACAACTGGGGGTAAATTGGAAATTGCATTGTGCTTATAGACCCCAGAGCTCAGGTCAGGTAGAAAGGATGAATAGAACTCTAAAAGAGATCTAACTAAAGTAGCTATTGAGACCGGCATAAAGGATTGGATTGCTCTCCTTCCCTTCGCACTGTTCCATGTGCGGAACACCCCAGGGAAATTTGCTCTCACCCCTTTTGAAATTATGTACGCGGGGGCCACCCC